TTCATACATTCTGAAATTTCCATTTGTCTGAGTTCAATTCAAAGCAAAGCCTCAAATGATAAAAGCCTCAATGTTTTTCAATTCATGCATAAACATTAATTGAAGCTCTCACAAGTAAACTTAATTTTCGATCCTTTATTAAATACTAAACCAATAAAACTTCATTCCTCAAACTGATTCAAATGCAGGTGACAAGTGTACCTTTTGTTGCAGTGACAGCATACCAATCCATCGTTCAAGCTTCAAATCAGACATTTCAACATCTAAAAAGCAATCAACACTATTCCCAACGCCTATTGCATATATTTTGTTATCAAAAGTAACTCCACCTAAGCCACTCTTTGCCTTTTCAAGGAAGGGCACAGGGTCCATTCATCCTACTTGTGTTGTAAGATTCAACTGACATATAGTATGAAATATTAGAGATAAGTAGATTGAAAAGGTAAATATACTTTAAGGGTCAGTTTGGTTCGGGGTTAAGTGACATTACTGGGGTAATGTCATCTTATATTACTTGATTACCACGTTTGGTTGTCAAGTAATATAAGATACCAGTAATCTTCAAATACCAATAGTGGTTACTATTGGTAATATAAGAGGTAATCTGATTACCTCCATTTTCTTAGGTTTTCTGAGATTACCAGGGTTATCTTTTTTTGTTACAATTTTATCCCTTATTAATAAAAATTTTGGACAATAATACCCCTACTTTAAAACAAATTTACATTAAAATCTTATTTCAATTTTACCCTTGTTTAATTAAAATTTTGGACAATAATGCCCTTATATTTAAAAGAATTTACAGACCACCACTGCCACCAAGCCGCCACCACCACGGCCACCCAGCCACCACCGCCGCCGCTTGCTGCCACGGCCACCCAGCCACCACCGCCGCCGCCTGCCGCCACCGCGAACAACCGCCGGAAAATCACCGGAGCCCCCAAAAACACTGGAAATTCTGTGGGAGGCTCCGGGAGGCTTCGATATGGCCGTTTTTGGCCATATTGATGGCCGAAAACGGCCATATCGGGCCAGATCTGGCCATTATCGGCCAGGTCTGGACCAGACCTGGCCGTTAGCCGCCAGATCCGTGGCCGGTCCAGACCTGGCCGATAATGGCCAGGTCTGGTCCAGACCTGGCCGATAATGGCCAGGGATCTGACCGTTAACGGCCAGATCTGGCCAGATATGGCCGTTTTCGGCCATCAATATGGCCAAAAACGGCCATATCGAAGCCTCCCGGAGCCTCCCACAGAATTTCCAGTGTTTTTAGGGGCTCCGGCGATTTTCCGGCGGTTGTTCGCGGTGGCGGCAGGCGGCGGCAGGAGGTGGGGGTGATTTCGTCATGAATTAAAGTTTTTTTATAAGCGGGGGTGTTTTAGCTAAATCTGAAATATTGGGGGTTAAAAAACTATTCAAAAATTAATAATAAAAATAATATTATATTAATATTTAAAAGAGGGTCAATTTAGTAATTTAAATAACATACCCACCAATTTATTCCCATAACCAAACATATTAATATAACATACCCACCAACTAACCAAACATATTTTCTTAAAGATTCCCAGTAATCTAACATTCCTGAACCAAACGCCTCCTAAAGAATTTATTAAGAGCTAATACCTGTATTGTACCATGTGCGTCTATCCCCACCACCAAAGACATAAACCTCACCATTCAACAATGCAACTGAAGCATATGAACGAACAAAGTGCATTGGCTGAAAAGATTTAATCACACCTCGCTGAGGGAACATATAAATCCAATGTTGATAATCATGATTCCCCATCATATCCACACAATAGATATATTGACTCAGTAGGATCGACATGCAGCTCGTCTAAGGACTCTATGGCCTTTTCATCACTTAATTCAATGGGAGGATTAGACACGGACTGCACCATCATACAATGATTTTTCAACTGCTGGATCTCAGCTTCTGCATCAACCTGGAAGAGTCGGGGTCAAAGGTGTTTGTTCATCACATCAAGCGGCATGAAATACACAAATGCAAGGAAGCACCATTTTTTCCATAAACATCATAACGACTAATATCCAGGGGTAAGGGGAGGGGGAATTAATGCATTGACCTTCAAACGAAGGAACAGTAGTCTCTTCAATTTATCATTAGTGCAATACAATATGAATTTGATTATTTGACACCAGTGACTCTTACCTTTGTATTATAGGTACTTCACCCACTAACTAAGGCTCTTAAATGCGCTAAATTATATTTTCATTTAAATCTCCAAGCTTTTGGTGTTAATACTAAGGAGAGGGAAAAACCATCAACTGCTCGGACTATTGTTGCTAATGCTTTTCCTGTTCAACCTTCTAGAGTACTAATGGCTATAATTCTACTTCTATTTCCATTGTAAATTAATTCAATTTAACATTAGTCCTTAGTCCATTAGAATATATATAAATAATTAATCAAAAAAGAATTCAGCCTCCAATGGTGACTAAATTGCTATGTTCGAATATATCAATCTGCACATTGTTTGCTTAGTAATTTCCCAAGGGCAGATAAATCAGCTATTGGAAATGGCAGAGTTCAACATCAGAGGAATGGCAAAGCATTACCAGCTTCTGCTCCAAATATCTCATCTTTAGATTTTGTTATCTTTGAATTTCTTTAAGCTCTTCCACCCCTTAAATCAACTACATAGAGCATAAAGCAACTTTACTAAGGCCAAAGCAAGAAACTCTTTTGAATCTTAAGTGAAATGAAGTAAAGGACAAATGTCCTCAACTACCTTAGCTATGATGGATTGACAATAAGAAGAGGCACAACTAATCTCTTCATTCTTCTCATCAGAGCTCATCATCTCACAAATAGAACCCCCGTTTCCCGGGCACATACCACTGGTAATCGCAGGTTAATCTACATAATCAGTTAAAGGAACGTCTTGACGTCCACAGCTAAAAGCCAATTCTTTCAGTTTCATGAGAATAATATCTTTCTCATCTTGTTCCACCATCTTCACATCTGAATGAGCTTCCAAAAGCAGGTTGTCTCCATTTAGTGGAACATCATCTCTAGAATCTATTTGCCTACTCAAGTAATTAGACTGATCAACCTCCAAAGGACATGGCTGAAGTAATTCACACTCCCCTTTCATTTCACCGACAGGAACAGCATCTTCAGAATCTGAAACCCAGCTTTCTTCTTCCGTGTCAGTTGACGAAAGAGGTTGGAAAAAGTTTCCCCATTTTGTTGTATTGAAAGGAAGACAAGGTAGACAAGTGCTTGTTGAAACTTCTAAAGATGCTAGTGATATCAGCTTGCTTGCCTGAGGATGGTCAAGATCCATTACTAGTTTAAACTGTTCTTCAAGCAGTGGTTGGCATTGCAATTTGACACGAATCTGAACCTTCATTTGGAAAGCAACATAATATCAGCATTAAAGCGCCCTCTCTTCATCATATATAACTTTTTTAACTTACAAACAACTAGAAAATAGAGAAGCAAACTTGTTATATTACCTGTGCAGGATACAGGGTTCTCTTAGAACCATCAATGGTCCACCCATACGTATCAATGTCCATTTTGCCAGGGCCAGCAGCTTCATAGATGCCGTAAAATTTCTGTCACTGTAGTTGAATAGAAAAAGTGGTGGTCCAGTATCAATGTTCTTTACATAGGTGAAGTCTTGAGCTGGTAAGCCTGTTAAAGTTAATACAAAATCTCGTAAGTTCTTGGAGAAAAACTAAGAACAATACACAAGCTGCACCGCAATGCTGCCCAACCAAAATGAAAAGAAAAAGAAATTATATCATATAGAGATATATTCTTAAACCAAACTACCGTTTTCATCTTTAGCAGCAATCTTGCTTAAAAAAAGGAGCTCAAGGTGTGTATGCAAAGTAATAGTTGTAGAAAAGACATTTGCGAATAAGAATTTTCCATTCATGAAAAACAGGAAACAAAATCTAGACGAAAACAAATGATTAAAATAAAAACAATGAGAAATATTTTATTCATTCTTCCCATTTTTATGCAATCCTACCAACAAATATCACTGGTTTCTGAATGACTAACAAATTCCTGAAACAAAAAAGACAACCAAAAACAGCCAAAATGTTTACTGAAAATATGCCTCAAAATTGCAGATGACTGACCAAACAGTTGATTAGTTAAACATTCTTTAATGGTGTTATTCTTGCAACCAAATATAACACCACCACGCTGGCTTTTACCCAGGTTTCTTGCAGATGCACGGGTATAGGTTGGATTTGTAGAAGGTGAATTTCCAGTGATAATGAAAGTTTGTAATTTCCTCCCCATCCTGTGACCAAAATTGAAAAAGATCAAAAATGCAAAACAAAATCTGAAACTGCAATTAGAGCTTAAAACATGAGTAACTACTGCTGATCAAAAGGGCTCAAAAACTTTCAATCAAAACGTTGAAGAATCATGAAACAGCAAATTTATAAAATATCAGCAATCATAAGAACAACAAATCCACAGAAAAAAAGAAAACCTAACCTAAACAATTAATGAATTGACTTTCGTTAATAAACACGAAGGCCATTATGTCAAAGAAAAGATGGAGATCCTACTTTGATGAGCAAATTGAATCACAAAAAGGCTCCTACATCAACCTCATCAATATCCATTCCTTACAATTCCTCTCATTGAAAAATAATTATACATTTCTCACAAATTAATTAACACTCATGATGCTTTCAAGAATCATTCGCTTCAATACACAGTAATATCCATAAATAATACCAAATAAATGAACAATCAAAACCTAAAAGCAGAGTGTGATGCTCAATGGACAAAACCTGGAAGTACAATTCAATGTAATGCTATCGGAATCACCAAATATGCTTAACAAGAACTTCAAAATAAAGAAAATCGCAAACTATTAATTCGTTTGATAGAAACAGAAAAAAGAAAGTAAAAGCGAAACGGCAAAGACTTATTTAAACTTCAAAAGCAAACAAATGCGGCAAAAAACCCTAACTATCACAAGTTTTAATCAAATCACCGAATCAAAGTGAAACCGAGTTCACTTTCTTTTTTAAATCATCCGATTGAAGCAAAGCCGCGGCACTTTGAAAATCGATCGAACAAAACTGAAATAAAAAAGAAAGAACCAAAAATAATGAGAGTTGAAAGGAAGATAAGCGAAGAGAAAATGTGTCAAAAATAGACGTGTACACTGTGGATCGAGGGTGCTGAAAATAGAAACAGTGTACTTCACTTTAGAGTGCTTGGCAAGAAGCGCGAAATGGAAACCGAGTAACATAATTACGAGTAGACTTGCAGATGAAAAAGTGAGTTTGCAATGTACAATGTTAAACAAACAAATGCCAGAAAATTAATTACATTATCTGAACTTTGATTTAACATCATCTATTCTTTAGTTTCTTAATATCAGATGCAACTAAATGTCTAAATGTTATTACAGGCTAAATCAATTAGTAGCTATGTACAGATCTCCATATATATATAAATCACATGCATTTCAAGTGTCAAACAAAATCCTGCTGATATGTCAATATATATAAATTTAATTATGTACACAAACAGGAAAACAATAAAGGGCGTGTGCCTTACTTCAGATAATCCTTCCCGTCAAATCCGCCAGTAGCATAAAGCACACCATCAATTTCTGCTGCAGCAAGTGAAAATCGCTGGAGAACAGATGAAGGGAATTCATGGACCAAGTCTTAGTCAACTTATACATCACGCATGCTTTATAAGGTGGCATGCCACATGCCTCAAGGAAATAAGAAATGTCTGAAATTGGTATTTTATTTATACCATTTACATTTAGCATCGTCTTGCAGTAAATACATGTAACTGACTGATGTAAAGGATCTTTAAACCTTATATTGAATGACTGAAAACACATGATAGATGCCCAACTTGACGACAGAATTAATATATATATATATATATATATAGGTCAAATTAATATCTAAACAGGACAACCTGTAAAATTATAAAAAAAATTCTTTTATTTATAGTACAGTATTGAAAAACTGAATGACAAAACAGGGATTATACTGAAAATTTTAAGTAAATATAGAAGTAAATAAAATTTTTAAGTAGTTTTCTAATAACTCTAAATATTGAAATAAAAAATATAAAAAAGTAACAACTTTAGGATTATATTTATGTTATTGTTAGAAACAGGTCATAAATCCAAGTAACATGTGCTTGTATATTGATACGTATTATTCTTCTCTCCAAAATATCATTCCGCTTCTACATAATTATTTTATGATGCATAGACTAGAAATTGAGAACAAAATTAATTAGATAGAAATGGATTAGTAATAGAGTTTTGGACTTCCTTACCCTTCAAACAATTTGGATTCTTTAAGTCTTTTAGGTTGCGGTTAATCAGAATCAAAATCAAAATCAAAATCAAAATCGGAATCGGAATCGGAATCAGAATCAGAATCAGCAAAGCCAGTGGGTTGACTTGTACTTGGATTCCCCTCTGCCACTTCTATTTCCCTTTTGACATCACAATTATTAATACAACAAAACCAAATCAAACATCATGATCAAACAATGCAATTCAAAGAAATTAATTTGATTCTATATAAGATTACTTTAAAGGCAATCATATTTTAAAATAAGCAATTAACATACAACTACATGCGGATTACATATGTTTATTTGATCATATTAAATATTTTATGATTAAGAACTAAATTATATAGAATCGGTAATACTTTATGATTAACAACAAAATTATTTCAAAAGATAATGATCATAATCAACTCTATTGGTTCCCAAATGAGTGCATTTTATATACTTAGAATTAAACTTCATAATATTTTAAGTCATAGTAAATATTAGTTTTCACATAATTAATTTAGAAATAAAAGTTAATGTAGAGTTTATTGTACTATTTTAGACTTGGCATTACTTAAATGATATATATATAAATTTTATAATTTTATAAGAATCCCATAATCATATTCCATTAGGTGAACAAGAGTTTCCACAAGAATGAATTAGGAAAATAAAAACTAATCATGTAATTAAAATGAGTTGTAGAAGGAAAACTTACTTATTTTTATAGTTGCATACTTTCAATCTCTTGGAGAGCGGTTCAGTTGTATCCAACATTTCATTCAAATCCAAAGAAGTAGCAGAACTCTTAAATTGGCAATTGCATGCAGCGGAAAAGTCATCGGATGGTGGTTCATCGTTATAGCGGCCATTTCCATTGAGTTTTAGCTTTCTCTTTAAAGATGAAAGATCTATTAGATCCTTCCATTTGTAATCTTCAGGGCACAATAGATGAACTCCACACTTTTTCACCTTACAACCTTCTATGGGAACCATATCATAAGTGGTAACTACGAAATTGATCTCAACCTCATGATTAAATAATGTCCGAGTTTCACCACTATACATAACACAATCATATCCCAAGAACACATGATCTGATTTAATGTAGTGAGTTCTATCTCCTTCGAACCAACCTTTTATAGACCCAATTGCAAAAGTCTCGTAGGGATCATTAAGATATTTGATATCCATCATACAATAAACGAAGAAAGGTTGGCCCAAATCTAGCAAATCTGGGAACTCTACAACAGTGCAGAAAGCCAAACCAGCAAATGGATTATGGCATGTGTCAATTGCATCATGGAATGAGCCCGATGATAGTTTTATATTATAGCTAGCATTTTGAAAGCTAAACCACTCTGGAATTTCACTTCCTGGGAAACTCATACAACCTTTTGGATTCACACAGTTCATCTGCAATAAAAAAAAATCTAGCATTGTTAATTTAACATCAAAATTTTTATTCAACAAAAAATAAAAATAAGAATTGACTTTGTATGATAGGAGAGAGACCTCTTCAATTTCTGAGCATAAAGTTGTACTTTGCTGAAAACTTAGCAGAGCATTTTTCACAGTTTCTCTGAGTGCATTCCTTTTCAATTTCCAATACCGTTCTTCTAGACAACTTTTAAAAATATTAGGATTGTCATATGGAGATTTTGACATGAAATGAGGCCTGTCAACCAAAGATTAAGTCAAGCAAATAACATTGACATGAAATTTGATATAAAATTTGATCTCTAATGATTTTTATTTTGTATTATATATAAGACTTTAGAGGTGATGTGTTGATATGTTAAGTGACTTCAGAATGTTACATAAAATTATGCACCACATGAGATGACATAAATTTTAGTACCAAATGAGATATATATAATTACTTTTTATTAGACAAAATAAATTAAAAGAATCGAAAAACATTATTGAGCTAAAAAAAAAATATATTTATTATTTACCTTAAGCTGCATATACCATCAAAGGGATTTGAAATTTGCAATTTATTGGATTGTAGTTCATCTTTCTCTTTCCCTTTCTTTTTAGCATTGTCAACACTTCTTCTGGATGTTTCCGATGGTTCTCCATAAGCTCCAACATACAAGAAATGAATCCCACACTTTTGAATCCCACACTTTTTCACTCCTTTGTGTCTAGCTATAAATTTGATGAGCACTTTACAATTTAATGACTTCATCTCAGAATAAATTTCATGATATTCCCCCTCGCACTTCTTAAATGTCATTTTATTTATAGAATGAAAGCTTAATACTACATGATCTGACCAGGCATCTTCTGAACAAAATCGACCGAAGGCGAAATAATCAGATTGAATGTTAGAAGAATAAATTTGCTGCTTACCATTTTTACTTTTGACCAAACAGTAACAGATAGCAGCGTAATAAGGAAACTCATACGAACTTGGTGGCAAAACAACAGATGCAAGAAAACCTAGAAAGTTTTTATTATGCCAATCTAGTGGTTGATCAAGAGCTATATAAGATCCTGTATTTTGAAAGGTAAACCACTTAGGAATTTCATTTCCAGGGAAAATGATATCAGCACAAAATTCTCGACAAGATTCCTGTACCAATGAAAATGAAAATCATCACATCATAACATAGTTTTAGCTTCAGATTTTTTTTTTTTTTTTTCCCATTGCTTTTAAAAAACAACTAACATCATGAAAAAGGAGAAAGCATCAAAATAGGTACCTCATGAAGAATTTTAGGTAGATCCAATTCAAAACAATTGACAAAAATTGATGCCCGTTGTCTCCAAAGAGGTAATAATAGAAATGATGGATCTGATATTGATTGCAAGGACAAGCAATTAGATGCGCACACAGATACACCCATTGGAAGCTCTGGCAATAGTTGAAGTCTCCGACAATTACTTATGTCTAGCGTCGACAAGTAAGAAAGCCCTCTGAGGTTTGGTATGCTCTCAAAATTATTTCTTCTTAGATTTAACGTTAACAGAGAGGATAATTGTCTAAGATTGTCCGGTAATTTGGTGATTCGACAGTTTTCCAAATCAAGTGTTGTTAAAGAGCTTGAATCTGAGGAAGAAATCAATACCCAATTAAGGGGTGTCTGATTATCATGAGGTCGATATAGGTATAAGCTGTCCATTTTTGGCAAGTGTAAAATGGATGATGGTACTTCCTTTAGGACTGTATCTCCAGTACGGAGAGTCTCCAAAGCTTTTAAATCTCCAAAGTCATCAGGTAATCTTTCCAATTTGGAGCATTTGTAAAGATCAAGGTATTTGAGAGATTTCAACTTACCGAAGCCATCTGGTAGACTAATAAGCTTTGTGCAACCACCTAGATCTAGCATAGCAAGCTCAGTGAGATTTCGAATAGATGAGGGAGCTATCTTCAGCAAACTTGAACAACGTAGTAATCTCAATTCCTTAAGATTTGAGGCTCTTGAGAGATTTGGAATCTCTGTCATGTGTTTGGAGTAACTGAGATCAACATATTTCAAATTTACAAGATCCTATACGAAAGCAAACAAATCATGACCAACTCGAATTAGTGCCTTTTATATATATAATTTTCAACAGATAAATACCGTATTACATACCTGAACACCCTTCCAATGCTTAACTTTGCTGTTTGGCATATCAAGTCTAACAAGGCTCTCTGAAGGAAAATTTAATGGCACTGATTTAAATGGATAACTATTCCAACTGAAGAATGTTATGTCACTGGGAAAGGATTCAAGTTCTTCAAAACCATGCAACTTATTTTCATAACAATCTGAAGAATTTAAATGGTATTCTGTGTTGTATGCTCTGAAGAATCTTAAGTCATCCATCTTTGACAAAACATGAAAATTTAAGCCTGCGTTGCTTATTTTAGATATGTCCAAATTTAAGCTTCGCACTGCATCCCTTCCCTAACAGCCAAAAGAGACGGTCAGTTAGAATACAAGATACAAAGCTCAATTTTTTATTTTTTATTTTTAATGGTAAAAGACTCCCATTAAATCAAACTAATTAATTAAGCTAAAGTTTACTAACCATTACTTGTTAGCCTGGTCAAATTAATTAAAGCTTCATACGTAAATTAAGATACAAAATTAATTTTTTTATTAAAAATAAATTATGAATCAATTACAACAAATACTCTAGTGAATAGAAACATTGAGTTGACTAAAACAAATAAAGATTTCGGATTTCAGCTGTAGAGAATAAAATAAATAGGATAACAATAACAATAACAATAATTATGCTTGAAAAGTAAGATTATGCATACAAAGGTAGAACGTTTGTATATGATATATTTCTTTTTGATGTATTTATGCTTTCTTTGAATCGAAAACATGTCATTTTAATAAAATTTGAACTACGAGACTGAGATAATACATGAAAGGAAATAATTAATTGTATAACAATAAACAATTTACAAAAAGAAAAAAATGTAAATATAGAAGCTTGAGTTTTAAGGAAAATAAAAATATAATTGATAATATAAAACATTTTTCATTTTTGGCGAGCCTCTAGTACGAGGAAGAATTTATTAGAAAGAAAATAATAATAATAATACATACCATAATCTCTCATTAGATATCCTTAAACCAGACATTAATTAAAATTTGTGTCAAAATTTTAAACTCACTCTCAAAGTTATCTATCAATTAATAAATAAGTATAGCTAACCCTTACCTTTTTTCTTTTAAATGCTTTGATGATATCCATATGATGCCATAGTCGAATGTGTTTGCAGTCATCTCGAGCAATTTCCCTACCCATTTCTTGAAGCAAATCATGCATTGTTATTTCATTGAAGTATGTCACAAACACGAGACACTTATCAATAAGAACTTGTATTCCTTGCTTTGCATAAATGTCACAAGCATTTAGAGTTTCTATCACTGAATCTCTATGTTCCCCTTTAAAGAAACATGCAATATCTAAAAATAAATCCTTCTCCTCTTTTTCAAGTCCATCATAACTAACTTTTAATACCTTATGAATACCCCAAAGAGGACATTTTTCCAGTTTTTTTATTGCACTTTCCCAAAATTCTTTTTCCTTGGAACACAAATGGCAACCCAACACTTTAAGAGCCAACGGAACGCCTTTGGAATATGCTACTACTAGGTTTGATAGCTTAATATAATCTTCAGTAGGAGAGCCTTGTTCAAAGGCATATTGATTAAAAAGTTGATGAGCTTCCTTCTTACTTAGTCCCTTAACCTCGTATATATAAGCATCATCTACTCTACAAGTTCTCAACACTTGTTTATCCCTTGTTGTTATGATAATTTGACTTTTTGAGCTCAACAAATTAAGATTTCCAATCAAATTTTCTATCTGTTGTAAAGATGTTACATCATCAAAAACAATGAGAACCTTCTTTTTTTTAAGTCTGTCTCTTGTGAAGGTGAGTCCTAAATTGGGATCTTTGTCCTTTAATATTTTGGAAAGAAGTTTTTCTTGCAAGTGAGTTAATCTCCCACTTTTCTCCGACTCTTCCCTAACATTTTCAGCAAAATATGATCCTTCAAAACGATTCAAAATTTTGTTGAATACAACACGGGCAATAGTTGTCTTGCCAGCACCACCTATGCCCCAAATTCCTATTTTGGAAACACCATTTGATCCCTTGTGCAACAAAGACTCTATTTTTTTTATGGGAAACTCTACTCCAACCAAGTCCCCATAATCACTTGGAGACAATTTATATAGTTTCTCCAAAATATCATCGGCAATTTCTTCTAGAAGTTTAGATTCAGGCCTAATATAAACAACAAAACAAACTTTAATTAGTTAGAAATTATGTTTATATAGCTTTCATTCAATTCAAGCATTCGGAAGTGTTTAATACACTAAAAGAAATACAAAAAGCGAAATATTATGAAATTAAAACTTACTTTTGATAACTTATAGTATGGCCACTTAGACTAGCTGCTTCATTCAAAGCAGTCTTCCATCTCTGTAGCGTCTCTAACTTCACCTTGTTACGTTTTTCAAGCTCAGCTAATCCATCTCCAAAAATTCCTGTTTGATTCCTCACATCCGATGGATTTACGTGATAGAAAATTGGTATAACAATCTGCTTTTTTATTTTCTTGCAGTAAAGGATTTGTTCAAGTTCTTGGAGGCACCATCTAGAAGATGCATAATTTTTTGAGAAAATGATGACTGAAATATTTGATGCTTTAATGGTATTCAAAAGAAATGATGAAATTTCATCTCCTTTGTCAATTTGGTTATCAATGAAAGTATTAATCCCTTTACGATCCAAAGTTGCATGGAGATGGCTTGTGAAACCGTTGCGGGTGTCTGTGCCTCTGAAACTAAGAAAAACATCATACTCCTCTGAAGGATTGTTGCTGGAAGACAAAGAAGGATTGTAGCTGGAAGACGAAGAACCAGCCATCGACAACAACTAATGGAATGCTTTTCAGTTCTGTTTAAGTAGACAAAATATAATGACATTCTTCATCAATCAAAAAACACTTCATTAGAAAATAAATTGAAGTAATTGAGAAATAAAAAATTATGATTTAATATATAATTATTAAATAATTCATTAACATTCCTAGTAATTCTAAATATATAATTAAAATAATATTTGATAAATAAATCTTGAAAATAGAGTAAACAGTGAAAAATATTTTGATTATTGTATTATTACTTTTTAATTATAAATTAAAAACACAATATCACATTTTTACCATCTAAAAATTAAAAGACATGTGAATAAGTAGTTTATAAAGAGAGAAAACAAAAACAAAAACAAAAATAAAAATAAATCTACCAAACAATAGAGGCACCACTTACTAATTAGCCTTGGAAGTTTAGATCTGACACACCCGTCATTGGAAACAACTTTGAGACACTATAAATATCGGTAAATCTTCAACCAAATTTGACTACATGTTCAGCTTTTATGAAACATAGATTCTAATTTTTCATAAAATTATAAAATTAAAATAAAATCAAAGAAAAATAGAATATATAAAAGGTCCAAGTATATATGTCACCAAACTAACAAATGGATCCAGATCTGAATGATTTGCAGAAAGATGTAATTGCTCCTGAGAAAGTATGTGAAGCCAGATATGAACTATAAAATTATTCGTCAAAGTCAAATTAAATTTATATTTCTAGAATAATACTGATAAACATATATATTAGCAATATTTCAAAAGAGTATGATATATATTAAGTTGCATTTAAGACACATGAATAAGTACTTAATAGGAGAAAAAACAAAAAATTGGAATTGGAATTAAAACAAATCTGGGAACAGTAGAGGTACTTACCTTTTAATTAGTCTTGGAAGTTCAGATTTAACAGTCAGAGCTACAGGAAGCTGAAAATTGAAACATGAAAGCATTAGTACTTTCATAAAATTATACAAAAATTTAAATAAAATCTGAAAAAAAAAAAATAGATATAAAAAGTCATAGTATGTTACCCAAATAACGAATGGCGGCAGATCTGAATTGCTCCAGAAAAAGTATGTAAAGATCAATGAGGCTGTTGAAGCGATGGAAAAACCATAAAACTTTACAGCTGTTATGAATGATTTCTCCTATTTTTATCTCTTCTTTACTCACTCTTGAAAGTCAATTGCAGAGAAAGTCAGTGGAAATTTCATTACAATTATTAAATGATTTCTTTTTCTTAGTCTCTCTCCATTATTTGACTTTGACAACCTTGTGTTCACACAGTAAGAATCTTGGGGACGGGATTGCTATTAAATAGCAATAAATTGTTAATTTTAAGTTAGTTTCTCTAATTTTATCACTTTTAACTTTATTGAATAAGTGTAAAAGAGTTAGACTTTATGATATAAAAATGGGGTGTTAAAAGCATTAGTAAAGAATAACGAATTAAAAGTAAGTTTAATGATTTAATATAGAGATAAATATGTAACTATAAAAATTATTAAAAAGTATGGTTTTTTTAGTCCAATAAAGGACGACAAATAGAACAACTATAACATAAAACGACACCAATGGTCAGTTCAAGTGACATCACAGGTTTATTTTTTTATCCTGTTCACGTGGTCTTCAAAGAAAACTACAAGGGAAAAAATGCCAATCGCTTCCTGCAGGAAGGTTCAAGGAAATTTCGCGACAATTATCAGCTATTTCTTTTTCTTTGAATCTCTCTGCATTAATTTGTACTATAATAGAAATTGTCAGCTCTTTTTCTTTCATGCCTTAAGCTTGTGTTCACACAATGAATTTGTTGAATAACTAATAATAGGTCTCTTACGTGAGTAATACTATATCTACAACTTCTTCTCACAAATATTCTTTTACAATCCTAACATGATACTTCACAATTGGTCAATCACAATTTATTAGATGGGAGCTATTATGAACAGATTAATTGTGGACTACCACGTCAAGGTTGACTTCTAGCCCCGACCTCTTAAACATTCAACTGTTATCACATAATCACAAGACAACAAGATAAGGGTGTGCATCTATCTAACAACTGCATAAAAACAAGCATGGCGAAAGAAAGATAACCGGGTCCAAACTCGTCACCGACTCACCGGTTGCCACTCCTCAACAACATATATAGACTGTTACAGAACAGCAGCAGCAGAATACCCCTTGTCTGCTTCATTGGGTCCGCCCTCACCTTAATCCATACGTGAATCATAATTTCGATGCTTGAAACCATTGTCCTGCCATCATAAGCACCCAGAGCATATCTACAACACAAATTCATCTTGTTAATATGAAACATGAAAAGGATATATATACTCTGGGGACTACGCATTTTGCCTTTTGCAATACATGGAGGACAAATTACGAGTAGACTTGTAGTAAGAAAAAGTGAGTTTACAATGTTAATCAAAATGTATTATTTCTTATAGTCCATAACTAAAAAACAAGAAAACATAAGGCAGAAAAACTTACAATTTTCCACTCAAAACACCAGTGAGTGGCAGGTTCTCTTTGAGTTCTGCTTGCAATTTGCTCTGCAGAACTGATATATACAAAAATGTCAGGCAACTTTTAAACAAACAATGCTAGAAAAATCAATTACATTATCTGAACTTCGATTTAGCATCATCTTTCTTTGTTTCTTACTATCAGATGCATCTCCATACATATAGAAATCGCAGGCATCTCAAGTCAACTAATGTCAAACAAAGATTAGAAGCCTTAATTATAAGTTAAGAATTTGGAAGTATATCCTGCTGTATGCCAATATATATAAATTTAATTATGCACACAAACAGGAAAGCATAAAGGGCGTGTGTCTTACTTCAGATAATCCTTCCCATCAAATCCGCCAGTAGGATAAAGCACAACATCAATTTCTGCAGCAGCAAAAAAATCGCTGGAGAACGATAAAGGCATTCATGGACCAAGTCTTGGTCAACTTATACATCATGCATGCTTTATAAGGTGCATGCCACGTGCCTCAAGGAATAAGAAATGTCTGAAATGGTATTTCATTTTTTGCCATTTACATTTAGCATCGTCTTCTGCCACATCACACTACAGTAAATACATGTACCGACGTATGTCTCATGATATAAAGTATCTTTAAACCTTGTATTGAATGACTGAAACATATGTGATGCCCAACTTGATGACAGAAGTGACATGGTGTCCATGATGAAACAATACCTTCATTTTCAGGAAACTTAATTGCCAACAGGTCAAATAAGCAATGAATTCAACATCATCAGTAAACCTTTCTCAATCATTTAACCAAATCCAGGAATCAAAGAAAATATAAGAATCAATCTAGAAGAAGATTTAAATTGAAATAGCAATTGTTTAGATCTTCCATATTCATATTTTTCCATTAGTTTCTACCAAATAAATTTCTCAACTATAAATTATTATATTGAGTGACTCTGGAAAGTAGCTGCATCACAAATCACAGTGTGAATTCTCTCTAGATATCTCATTTAATTAGATTGGTCCGTATATGAGGAATATATCTTGTGAGTTTAATAAATGCTGTAAGATTTCATACATTCTGAAATTTCCATTTGTCTGAGTTCATTCAAAGCAAAGCCTCAATGATAAAAGCCTCAATGTTTTTCAATTCATGCTAAACATAATTGAAGCTCTCCCAAGTAAACTTAATTTTCGATCCTTTATTAAATCAAAACCAATAAACTTCATTCCTCAAACTGATTCAAATGCAGGTGAAAAGTGTACCTTTTGTTGCAGTGACAGCATACCGTCCATCGTTCAAGCTTCAAATCAGACATTTCAATATCTAAAAAGCAATCACACACTTCCCACGCCAATTGCATATATTTGTTATCAAAGTAACTCCACCAGGCCACTCTTTGGCTTTTTCAAGGAAGGGCACAGTTCCATTCATCCTACTTGGGTTGTAAGATTCAACTGAGATATAGTAGAAATAATTAGAGATAAGTAGATTGAAAAGGTAATACTTTAAAGATTTATTAAAGCTAATACCTGTATTGTACCATGTGCGTCTATCCCCACCACCAAAGACATAATCTCACCATTCAACAATGCAACTGAAGCATATGACGAACAGAGTTCATTGGCTGAAAAGATTTAATCACACCTCTCGAGGAACATATATCCAATGTTGATAATCATGATTCCCCATCATATCCACACAATAGATATATTGACTCAGTAGGATCGACATGCAGCTCGTCTAAGGACTCTATGGCCTTTACATCACTTAATTCGATGGAAGGATTAGACACAGAGTGGTACCATCATACAATGATTTTTCAACTGCTGGATCTCACTTCTGCATCAATCTGGAAGAGTCGGGGTCAAGGTGTTGTTCATCACATCAAGTGGCATGAAATACCAAATGCAAGGAACGCCATTTTCCATAAACATCATAACCATAAATATCCAGGGAGAGGGAGGGGGAATTAATGCATTGACCTTCAAATGAGAACAGTAGTCTCTTCAATTTATCATTACTGCAATACAATATGAATTTGACTATTCAAGACACTAGTGACTCTTACCTTTGTATTACAGGTACTTCACCCACTAACAAAGGCTCTTAAATGCGCTAAATTATATTTCATTTAAATCCCAAGCTTTTGTTGTTAATACTAAGGAGAGGGAAAAACCATCAACTGCTCGGAATATTGTTGCTGATGCTTTTCCTTCAACCTTCTAGAGTACCAATGGCTATAATTCTACTTCTATTTCCATTGTCATTAATTCAATTTAACATTAGTCCATAGAATATATATAATAATTAATCAAAAAAGACGCACTCCAACGGCGACTAAATTGCTATTTCGATTATATCAATCTGACATTGTTGCTTAGTTTTGCCAAGGGCAGATAAATCAGCTATTGGAATACCAGAGTTCAACATCCGAGGAATGACAAAGCATTACCAGCTTCTGCTCCAAATATCTCATCTTTAGATTTTGTTCTGTTTGAATTTCTTTAAGCTCTTCCACCCTTGAATAAACTCCAGAGAGCATAAAGCAACTTTACTAAGGCCAAACAAGAACTCTTTTGAATCTAAGTGAAATAAAGTAAAGGCAAATATCCTCAACTACCTTAGCTATGATGGACTGACAATAAGAAGAGGAACAACTATTCTCTTCATTCTTCTCATCAGAGCTCATCATCTCACAAATAGAACCCCTTTCCCTGGCACATACCACTGTAATCGCAGGTTCATCTACATAATCGTTAAAGGAACGTCTTGACGTCCACAGCTAAAAGCCAATTCTTTCAGTTTCATGAGAACAATACCTTTCTCATCTTGTTCCACACATCTTCACATCTGAATGAGCTTCCGTAGCAGGTTGTCACCATTTAGTGGAACATCATCTCTAGAATCTTTTTCCTACTCAAGTAATTAGACTGATCAACCTCCAAGACGTGGCTGAAGTAATCACACTCCCCTTTCATTTCACCGACAGGAACAGCATCTTCAGAATCTGAAACCCCTTTCTTCTTCCGTGTCAGTTGACAAAAGGGTTGGAAAAAGTTTCCCCATTTTGTTGTGTTGAAAGGAAGACAAGGTAGACAAGTGCTTGTTGAGACTGCTAAAGATGCTAGTGATATCAGCTTGCTTGCCTGAGGATGGTCAAAGGTCCATTCTGGTTTAAACGGTTCTTCAAGCAGTGGTTGCATTGCAATTTGACACGAATCTGAACCTCATTTGGAAAGCAACATAATATCAGCATTAAAGCGCCCTCTCTTCATCATATATAACTTTTTTAACTTAAACAACCTAGAAAATAAGAAGCAAACTTGTTATTTACCTGTGCAGGATACAGGGTCTCTTAGAACCATCAATGGTCCCCACCATACGATCAATGTCCATTTTGCCAGGGCCAGCAGCTTCATAGATTCCGTAAAGTTTCTGTCACTGTAGTTAATAGAAAAAGTGGTGGGCCAGTATCAATGTTTCTTTACATAGGTGAAGTCTTGAGCTGGTAAGCCTGTTAAAGTTAATACAAATCTCGTAAGTTCTTGGAGAAAAACTAAGAACAATACACAAGCTGCACCGCAATGCTGCCCACCAAAAATGAAAAGAAAGAAATTATATCATATAGAGATAATCTTAACCAAACTACCGTTTTCATCTTTAGCAGCAATCTTGCTTAAAAAAAGGAGCTCAGGTGTGTATGCAAAGTAATAGTTGTAGAAAAGACATTTGCGAATAAGAATTTCCATTCATGAAAAACAGGAAAAAAATCTAGACGAAAACAAATGATTAAAATAAAACAATGAGAATATTTTATTCATTCTTCCCATTTTTATGCAATCCTACCAACAAATATCACTGGTTTCTGAATGACTACAAATTCTTGAAACAAAAAAGAACAACCAAAAACAGCCAAAATGTTACTGAAATATGCCTCAAAATTGCGGATGACTGACCAAACAGTTGATTAGTTAAACATTCTTTAATGGTGTTATTCTTGCACCAAATATAACACCACCAACTGGCTTTTACCCAGGTTTCTTGCAGATGCACGGGTATAGGTTGGATTGTGAAGGTGAATTTCCAGTGATAATGAGTTTGTAATTTCCTCCCCATCCTGTGACCAAAATTGAAAAAGATCAAAAATGCAAAACAAATCTGAAACTGCAATTAGAGCTTAAAACATAATACTACTGCTGATCAAAGGCTCAAAAACTTTCAACCAAAACGTTGAAGATCACGAAACAGCAAATTTTAAATATCACAATCATAAGAACAACAATCCACAGAAAAAAAAAACCTAACCTAAACAATTAATGAATTGACTTTTGTTAATAAACACGAAGCCCATTATGTCAAAGAAAGATGGATCCTACTTTGATGAGCAAATTGAATCACAAAAGGCTCCTACATCAACCTCATCAATATCCATTCCTTACAATTCCTCTCATTGAAAAATAATTATACATTTCTCACAAATTAATTACACTCATGATGCTTTCAAGAATCATTCCTTCAATACACAGTAATATCCATAAATATACCAAATAATAAACAATCAAAACCTAAAAGCAGAGTGTGATGCTTAATGGACAAAACCTGGAAGTGCAATTAAATGTAATGCTATCGGAACCACAAAATATGCTTAACAAGAACTTCGAAGTAAAGAAAATCGCAAACTATTAATTCGTTTGATAGAAACAGAAAAAAAAAGAAATAAAAGCGAAACGTCAAAGATATTTAAACTTCAAATGCGGCAAAAACCCTAACCATCACAAGTTTTAATCAAATCACCGAATCAAAGTGAAACCGGGTTCACTTTCTTGTTAAATCCATTGAAGCAAAGCCGCGGCACTTTGAAAATCGAGCGAACAAAACTGAAATAAAAAAGAAAGAACCAAAAATATGAGAGTTGAAAGGAAGATAAGCGAAGAGAAAATGTGTCAAAAAGAGACGCGTACCACTGTGCGTCGAGGGTGCTGAAATAGAAACATGTGTCTCCTTTAGAGTGCTTGGCAAGAAGCGTGAAATGGAAACCGAGTACACTAATTACGAGCAGACTTGCAGATGAAAAGTGAGTTTGCAATGTACATGTTATTGGTACTTGTTAATCACAAGTACCAATAACTACACAACAAGAAAACTAGAGGAATAAAAAACTTAAACAATTTTCATCAAACCACAGTGAGTGGCAGGCTCTCTTTGAGTTCAGGCTTGCAATTTGTTCCCAATAACGCATTCTGTTGTCAAATTTTTCTGCAAAACTGATACGTACAAAATGTCAGGCAAATTTTAAACAACAAATGCCAAGAAAATTATTCCATTATCTGAACTTTGATTTTGCTTCATCTATTCTTTCGTTTCCTACTACGATGCATCTAAATATTGTTACAGGCTAATCAATTAGTAGATACGTACAGTCTCCACACAAACACACACACACACACCACACACACATATATATATATATATTATATAAATCAGAGGCATCTCAAGTGTCAAACAAATCCTGCTGATATGCCAATATATATAATTTAATTATGTACACAACAGGAAAACAATAAAGGACGTGTTTCTTACTTCAGATAATCCCTCCCGTCAAATCCGCCAGTAGCATAAAGCACACCATCAATTTCTCGCTGCAACAAGTGAAAATCGCTGGAGAAACAGATGAAAGGATTCATGGACCAAGTCTTAGTCAACTTACACATCCATGCATGCTTTATAGTGGTATGCCACGTGCCTCAAGGATAAGAAACGTCTAAATTGGTATTCATTTATACCATTTGCATTTAGCATCGCTTGCTACCACATCACACAATCAGTAAATACACGTAACCAGACATATGTCTCATGATGTCAAATAACAATGAATTCAAGATCATCAGTAAAACTTTCCCTCAATCATTGCACCAGAATCCAGGAATCAAATCATATATAAGAATCAATCTAGATAGAAGATTAAAATTGAAATAGGCAATTGTTTAATTTTTGAGTGGAGACATAAAATAGAGGACAAAATGGAGGGAAAATGTTTAATTGTGGACATTAATATCATATATAGATCAAATTAATATCTAAACAGAAAACCTGTAAAATTGTAAAAAAAATTCTTTTATTACAATACGGTATTGAAAAACTGAATGACAAAATAGCATTATACGAAATTTTCAAGTAAATAGAAAGTAAATAAATTTTTTAAGTAGTTTTCTAATAACTCTAAATATTGAAATAAATAAAAAAGGTAACAACTTTAGGATTATATTTGTTATTGTTAGAAACAGGTCATAAATCCAAGTAACATGTGCTTATATATTGATACGTATTATTCTTCTCTCAAAAATATCATCTAGCTCTACATAATTAGTTTATGATGCATAGACAGAAATTGAGAGCAAAATAAATTAGATAGAAATGGATTAGAAATAGAGATTTGGACTTCCTACCCTTAAAAAAAATTTTGAATTCTTTAAGTATTTTAGGCTGCGGTTCATCTTCATCTCGATAGGCACTTCTATTTCAGAATCAGAATCAGCAAAGCCGTGGATTGACTTGTACTTGGATTCAACTCTTCCACTTCTATTTCAGAATTAGATCAGCAAAGCCATTGCGTTCGACTGGTACTTGGATTCAACTCTTCCACTTCTATTACAGAATTAGAATCAGCAAGCTAGTGCTTTGACTTGTACTTGGATTCAACTCTTCCACTTCTATTTCAGAATCAGAATCAGCAAAGCCAGTGGATGTACTTGCACTTGGATTCAACTCTTCCCTTCTATTTCAGAATTGAATCAGCAAAGCCAGTGCTGTCGACTTGTACTTGGATTCAACTCTTCCACTTCTATTACAGAATTAGAATCAGCAAAGCTAGTGCTTTGACTTGTACTTGGATTCAACTCTTCCACTTCTATTTCAGAATCAAATCAGCAAAGCCAGTGGATTGACTTGTACTGGATTCAACCTTCCACTTCTATTACAGAATTAGAATCAGAAAAGCTAGTGCTTTGACTTTTACTTGGATTCAACTCTTCCACTTCTATTTCAGAATCAGAATCAGCAAAGCCAGTGGGTGTTACTTGTACTTGGATCAACTCTGCCGCTTCTATTTCCCTTTGACATCACAATTATTGATACAACAAAACCAAATCAAACATCATGATCAAATAATTAATATATGAATAAATCTGCAATCAAAGAAATTAATTTGATTGTATATAAGTTACTTTAAAGGCAATCATATTTGAAAATTAGCAATTAACAAACAATTACATGCAGATTACATATGTTTATTTGATCATATTAAATATTTTATGATTAAGAACTAAATTATATAAAATCGGTAATACTTTATGATTACAACAAATTATTTTCAAAAGATAATGATCATAATTAACTCTACTAGTTCCCAAATGAGTGCATTTTATATACTTGAATTAAACTTCATATATTTTAAGTCATAGTAATATATTTTCACAATATTAATTTAGAAATGAAAGTTAATGTACAGTTTATTGTACATTTTAGACTTGGCATACTTAATGATATATTTAAATTTTATATTTTTATAAGAATCTCATAATCATATTCCATTAGGTGAACAAGAGTTTCCAGAAAATGAACTAGGAAAATAAAGCTAATCTATAATTAAAATGATGGTAGAAGGAAAACTTATATTTTCATAGTGTGCATATTTTCAATCCTTGGAGTGCGGTTCAATTGTATCGATCGTTAGAGCAGCGGAAAGGTCAGGATGGTGGCTTATCATTACAATGGCCTTTCCATTGAGTTTAGCCTTCTCTTTAAAGATAAGATTTATTGGATTCTTCCATTTGTAATCTTGACGGCACAATAACGAACTCCACCACACTTTTTCACCTTAAAACCTTTTATGGGTACTTATAAAAAGTGGTAACCTGTGAAATAGATGATGGTCTTAGCCTCAGGAGAACCCCGACTACGAGTAATTAAACTAGAAGCTTACCAGTAACATAACACAATCATATCCCAAGAACACATGATTTGATTTATTGTAGTGAGTTCATCTCCTTCGAACCAACCTTTATAGCCACCAATTGCAAGAGTCTTATAGCGATGATCAGATACTCTAACGCAACCTACAATTAACTAAGAGGTTGGCCAAAATCTAACAAATCTGGGAATTCTACAACAGTGCAGAAAGCCAACCAGCAAAAGTAGCATTGGATGAGCCCAATGGTAGTTCTATATAATAACTAGCATTTGAAAGCTAAACCACTCTGGAATTTCACTTCGGAAACTCATACAACCTTTTGGATTCACACAGTACATCTGCAATAAAAAAATGTAGCATTGTTAATTTAACACTGAAATTTTTTATCAAAAAAAATAAAAATAAGAATTAACTTTGTATGATAGAGAGAGAGACCTCTTCAACTTCTGAGCATAAAGTTGTACTTTGCTGAAAACGTAGTAGAGCATTTTTCACAGTTTCTCTGAGTGCATTCCTTTCAATTTCCAATATTGTGCTTCTAGACACTCAGATCAAGTGGACAATTTGACATGAACACGCCTTTACCAACAGATTAAGTCAAGCAAACAACATTTGACATGAAATTTGATATAAATTGATCTCCAATTATTTTTTATCTTGTGTTATTAGTAAGACTTATAGGTGATGTGTTGATATGTTAAGTAACTTCAATGTGACATAAAATTATGTACCACATGAAATGACATAAATTTAGTACTAATTGAGAATATATAATTACTTTTTATCAGACAATAAATTAAAAGAATCAAAAACATTATTGAGCTAAAAAAAATTTTTACTATTTACCTTAAGCTGCATATACCATCAAAGGATTGAAATTTGCAATTTATGGATTGTAGTTCATCTTTCTCTTTCCCTTTCTTTTTATCATGTTAACACTTGTGGATGTTTCTGATGGTCTTCCATAATCTCCAAGGTACAAGAAATGAATCCCACACTTTTTCACCTCTTTATTCCGGCATCAAATTTGATGAGCATTTTACAATTTATGACTTCACTCATAAGAATTTACGATATTCGTTCTTGCACTCTCAAACACCATTTTCGTTATAGAATGAAAGCTTGATAATACATGATTTGAACGTGAATTACGTTCATTGAAGCTACAAACATTAATTTAATGTTTGTCTATAAATTTGCTCCTTACCATTTTCCTATTGACCAAGCAGTAACAGGTACCTTTGTAATTAGGATGAATAGGAACTTTTTTGAAAAAACAACATAGATGTAAGAAAACCTAGAAAGTTTATATTATGCCAATCTAGTGCCGTCAAAGTTATATAAGACCACGTATTTTGAAAGGTAACCATTAGGAATTTCATTTCCAGAGAAACAGATACTAGCACAAAATTCTCGACAAGATTCCTGTACCAATGAAAATGAAAATCATCACATCATAACATAGTTTTAGCTTCAGATTTTATTTTTTATTGCTTTTAAAAAACACTAACATCAAGAAAAATGAGAGGCATTAAAAGAGTACCTCATGAAGATTTTAGGTAAATCAATTAAAACAATTGGCAAAAGTTGTTGTCCGTGATACCCGATGAGGTAACAATAGATATGATGGATCTGATATTGGATTCAAGGTGAGCAGTTAGATGCATCCCATTTACACCCTTTGGAAGCTCTGGCAAAAGTTGAAGTCTCTGGCAATTGCTTATGTCTAGTAGTACAGTTAGAAAGTCCTTTGATGTTTTCTGGTATGCTTTCAAAATTATTTCCACTTAGATATACTCTCCCAAAGGATAATTGTCCAAGATTGTTAGGTAATTGGTGATTCGGCAGTTTTCCAAAAACAGTACTTCCAAAGAATGAACCTGATGAAGAATTCAATACCCAATTAAGGGGGTCTGATTATCACCAGGTTGATATAGTTCTAAGGCGTAACCTTTGGCAAGTGTAAAATGATGATGGTATTTCTTTTAGGACTGTATGGTAAGTTTTGAGAATCTCCAAAGCTTCTAAATCTCCGAAGTCATCAGTAGCTTTCCAATTTGGCAGCTTCGCAAAGATAATGCTTTCAAGAAATTTCACTTACAGAAGCTCCTTGAAGACTCTCAAGCGATTGACATCGGTCAAGATCCAACTCAACTAGTCTAGATGATGTTCGAATGAGGGTGTTTCTTTTATGGCAGTTTTCCCTTAAATATAATATTCCACCTTACATGAGAACTTGGAGCTATCTCCAGATTACAGCAGCAACTGAGATTAATTAGATTGAATGCCTCTGCA